TATATATATAAAATTCTCGTGTCACAGTGTTAGTTACCACACTTCTCCGAAACTCCTTAATCGATTTTGATAAAAATTTGTTTGTATACTCGGAAGGTCTGAGAATAGGTTGTTATCTATTTCTATACCATAAGTTATAAGGAAACGAAAAATACATTATTTTTGGAAATTGTTTTTGGTTAACATTTTTATTTTGCAGAAGACCATAAATACAAAATATTTATGGCACTGACCAGGCTCCTCTTCCCCACTAGGCACACTGAGCACGTGCCGAGGGCCCCGTGATGGTTGGGGCCCCCTAGTCTAGTCTAGTCCCTACTCCATTACCAAACGAGAACCCATAGCTACTCTACTCTCTCCTAAACATCAGTCTTAACAAATGGTTAACAATTATTGTCAATTTCTTCGTTTTTGTTATTTTTTTTATAACTTGAACCCCTCATCATGTTCACATAACGACTTTTAAAATTATTTTTCCTGGATTGTTTTAAAGGTAGGTCCCATTAGGTAGCATCCCATATACATCTGCAAAGAATCATGTTCAAAAATTACTTTGTCTATTCTAATAAAATAGTGCTCTATTACTATTGTATTACCATTATTGAGTCTCAGTGTAAGCGCGATCCGATGTGCACGTATTATAATTATTTTATTTAATATCGTAATTGCTCAGCGCGGCATAAGCCGTGCTAGTCGAAGTTCCAGCCATGTGTGACAAACTTGTGGCCAACGAACTCCTTGCGTTCCTGCAGCAGAAGCTGGACGTAATGGACGAAGTAAGTGCAGTCCAGATCTGTGTGTCCAACTTCAGCCAGGACGACATCGCGAGAGCGAAGGCTCTGCTCTTCGAGTCCCTAAATAAGACTAATCAGAGGTGTCTCGTAGACGTGACGGGACACAAAAAAGCGTACAGGACATTATAACGCTGCTGAAGGAGACCGATCCAGACGACGTGCCGACTTTTGTGGCGAAGGATTTAAACAAACTTCCTCCAGTCACATTTGATCACGTCGATGTTACCAGCTTACTCAAGGATATCGTGTCCTTAAAAAAGAGTTTGGCAGATGTGACGCTACGTTTCAATGCGTCAGAGCTCATAATTAGTGAGTTGCGCAAGGAAGTGGACAGTTTGCGCGACTCGCGAAAAGAAACTAGGTCACTTGACGCTACGAACATCAACACGCGCCGTGGGGCATGCCGCGATGCGTTCACGGCAGAGTCAGCGGTTCAACGACGACACTGACGTCGCCAGATGTGGTGTCACCGCCGGCCGCCGCGCCCCCCGTGCTCCCCGCCCGCAGCTCGCGAGCGCCGATACCGCTGCATGTGGAAGCAGCGCTAACAAAATCCTCGGTGCAACCACAGCGTCGAGATTTTGCCGCCGTCGTCGCTAGCAAACCGGCTGCTTCAGTACAGCGGCGTGTTCCAAAAACGGCACTGAACATTGACCCTACGTGTGCTGCCACTGGTAACCGCGACGATGATGGCTTCGTCGTGGTACAAAAGAAGAGGCGCACTAACAAGGTCAATAGGAATCGTTGTGGCACTGCACTCACTGGGCCCAACTTTCTGCTGCGTACTGCTACACCGACCACGACAATGTACCTGTCCCGTCTACATTACGCCACTAAGGAGCAGGACATTGTCGATTATATTCGTACCAAGAGTAACCTGACATTGAGGGTAACGCAGCTGAAGTCGAGTCACAACGCGAGTTTCAAAGCATTTGTGGCCCTGGTCCCCACCGACTTGCTGCCCACCTTCATGAAAGAGGACTACTGGCCGAAAGGTGTGGCAGATTACCGTCTTCAGTGCCGTGATCACACAGACAATATTATTGTATTAGTTTTTAAATATTATATTATATGTATGTTAGTCTATAAGGTATTTATAATATGGGCCTAGTTGCCTGAAATAAATGTATAAATAAATTATCCTAATGGGTCCAGGATAGAATAGAAAATCATATATTCAAATAAACATAATATAAGCACTTTTTAATAGTCAATATTTTGTTTTTAAATCTACCTCTCATTCGGAAAGCTGTCTCATCACAAGAAACTTGTGTGTTGCTCTTTTAAACAATCCTTGTAAGTTCACATTTTACAAGTCAAAACGTGTGAATTCAAACTACCAACCAGCATTAATTTATTTAGGCTCAAATATAAAAACACAATATTAAATCAGTCGTAGTGATAAGAGCAGACCAGTCCCTACACTAGCACTCGTTCAAGAGTATGACGGATGAGCCAGCCATCACTGCGCTCGACCATATTTTAGGGAGCCCAATGACCCGGGCCTCTAATAGATGAAAGACGACCTGGGCCCTAACACAGCCACTAAGTTATCTACGTGGATAGCTACCTCAGTCTCACCACAGATAACATAATTAGTCTTACCTAAGATAGAGCAGATAAGCAGATAAGTTTACGTATGTACTAATTTAACGTAGATAACAATGAAATTCTAAAAATGTTGGAATCTTAAAAGTCGATTAGATAACCATAAAATGGCTTGATTAATAGATTATAATATTATATTATCTAGGAATTCAATTTAATTAAACTTAGAATTGTATTTTTTATTTTATGTAACTGGAAACAAGCTTACTATTCTCATAATGCAACATGGAAACCGGTCTTTTCTTGAATTTCTATGAAATGCTTACATTATACGTTACATCAGTGGAGGACGATAGAATGACAACGAGGTCTGTTTGTGTTTCTCACTGTGATCTATTTCTAAAGCATTTAAAATCAATAAAATTAATAATAAATGATACACCGTGTTGACAGAGGGAGAAGTTTTTATTTTATTTTTAATTACAATTATTTTATGGCTTTTGTATAAAAAAGGTTACATGTGCTAACAAGGTCATATCAGTTCCCCCATCGAAATTAATTCAACAGGAATTAATTACCAGTTTGGTTTCCAGGGGGAACCTGACTTGATACATTGTTAACGATGGAGTAATTAGTTTACATTAAGAGGCCTTCACATTTTTTGGCGTAAAACAACGATAAACCGGAGTTTTTGTTGTTCTGGTTCTAAGCAATTAAGAGTCGGATATACATTTTGATTCCTGAATTATATAGATTAGATATCTAATCTTAAAAACAGCATCTTTAAAATGTTAATTTTCTCTTTTATTAGTCTTCCTAATTTCTAAAATAGTTTATTCAAGAACGCAAAGAGACAGAAGTTTGGGGTGGTCGTTCATTAATAAACAAATGAGAAACAATTACATGAAAAGCATAAAAAAACTTCTTAAATTTGCTACACCGGGACTACCTTTCTGATCGATCCCCTGCCCTGTGCCAATACAAAAGGGCATTGACATTACGACGGCCTGAGCTGAGGTTCGAAACCCTAGCGGTACCATCAGACTGAAGCCGTATCCAACAGGCGGGAGTTGGCCTTCAGCCGCTCCGTAAGTCCTTCCTTTGGTTTGGAGTGCCATCTGCACTCGCCCCTTATCGTTGGGTGAAGTTATAAAGACTGCGGCCAACAGTTATAGAGTTGTAGTAAATATTCATATAACGGAATATACATTGGTATACCAGTATTACCCTTGGGTTTTACGTATAGGATCCATATCTAGAAGTTCAGATCTTTAGTACAATATTATATCCCCTCCGATCGATCCCCCGTCCAATTCAAACGAGGATCGAAATTACGACGCCCTGAGCCGAGGTTCGAACCCCTAGTGGTGCCCTCAGACTAAATTCGTATCCGTCAGGCAGGAGTTGGCCTTCAGCCGCTCCATAAGTCCTTCCGCGGGTTTGGAGTGCCATCTGCACTCGCCCCCTAACGTCCGGTGAAGCTGTAAAGGCCAGCTGAGGCCAACAGCATTAGAGTAGTCCGAAAAAAAATTATATGAAGTTATGAAAGCCACTGCAAATAGCATTAAAATAGTCCGAAAAAAAATATCACCCGAAGTAAATTAGTTACAGGGCCGGATCTACCTACGGCCTTTACGGGCTCCAGCCCAGGGCCCCGTGAATATAAAGAGCCCCCAGCCTCCACTGAAACCAACAGGCGATGTTTAGATTAAAAAATCCATAATATTAAAAAACCTATCATAAGGTTGACAACCCTGAAATTAATCAACCCCCTGTCGCTTGTGATCTGTATATTTTTTTAGTTGATTGTTTATAATTTAAGTTTTAGCCCAGCGCCCCATAAATTCACGATCCGCCCCTGATTAGTTACTTTTAGATATCTACCAACTGAATAAATTTACAAATGATTATAAAGTTGAACGACTTTCTATACATAAATTTGTATAGGAACAGGTAAATATTGTAACAGATGGTAAATATTACTCTGTGTGTTTTTTATACTGCGGAAAATGGCAAATAAGATATATTTCAGACTAGCTGTTCCCGCATCTTCGCCCGCGTGGAATTTAACTTTATTTTTCTAAAATAAACGTAGCCTAAGTTATTCCTTATTACATCAGCTACCTGTCAATAAAAGTCCCGTCAAAATCAGAGATTAGCTGGAACAAACAGACAGACAGACAGATAAAAATTGTTATTTTGGTGTATGTACCGTATGTATATTCATATGCATGTAATAAAAAACGGTTATTTCAATATTACAAACAGACACGGTGGAATCATGTGTGTGTACCTACAATTAGCCACTGCGAAACTAGAAATTTAAAAAAATATGTTTAAAAATATTAACGTTCTTATTCTAAGGTATATTAGTATCTTATTCTAAGGTATATTAGTATATTATTAGCTTTAGAATCATCATATTGACTTGGTTAGCACCGACTTCGATTTAAAAGTTAAACATTGTATCTAACTAGCTGTGCTCGTGGTTTTACTTGGATGAAATTTATAGTCTATGTGTAGTCCTGGTGATACATGCTATATTATTATATATAAGGGAAGTTACCTCTGAACTTCTCACTTTAACAGAGTATCTATAGTGGTGTTCAAGTAAACAACGTAGAACAAGATAAACAAAATATATTTCTAATCAAGATAAATTAATATAAAAACACATTTAATACAATATACAATAATACAAATAAGTTATACGAATATATCAATACGATGACAGACAAGATGACAAAACACACTATCTTTTCAAATATTCAAACATACTTCATTTGCCATACCAGCCAGTCTAGACATTGATTACAAACCTCGTTCTAACATTATAAACTTTCATTAAAATCCATTCACTAGTTTTTGCTTGAAACAGATAATAGACAATCCACAATCACAAACTACGACCTTTATAATATTAGCAAAATTACATTAAATTACAAAAAAAACTTTTGCGAGAGTTTCTCCTTCTACGCTAATAAGCCGCAAACTGTCAATGTCAAACAACAAATAATTATATGTCAAAAGTTTGATTGGAGCCGTTTTTGAACTTTGTCAACACTGAAATAATCTGTGAAACTGATAAAGATAAGGTCGAAACATATATGAATTTTAAATTAATATTTGCGTATTAAATTACGATCATAAAGAAGTGTAATTCTTTTATTTTTTTTATGAATAACTGCAATAAACATATATTATATTTGAAGTTACGTGCTGTTGTTTTGCTTGAGAAGTTTAGTTAGATTGTTTCATATAATTTAACTTTTTAAAATGACTTTAGTTGAAAACGAGTGGTTTATCGAAGCTCCCTGGGGTAAATTATGCGGTAAGTATTCCATGAAATATCTTATATAAGTATATTATTTATAAAAGTAGTATTGGTTAAAGAGAATCATCGTTTTTTTATTGAACTAATTAAGTACCGAATTTCGATTGCACTTTGTTCATACCGCTCTCGTAAACATTACCCTTTGTATTTCAACATTTATAATAATAATTAAGGAATTCTTAGATTAGAGGGTGTTATCATGACTCTTAATAACTGCTTTCTGCTATTATAAAATGTTATATGAAATCTTTTTAATATACAAAAAACTAATATTATAAATGCAAAAGTAATTCTGTATGTCTGTATGTCTGTCTCGATTTTATGTCAAAACTATTGAACCGATCCGATTTAAAATAAATTTGGAACACATTGTCTAGAATCTGAGAAAAAAGTGTTGTTAGAGATTGAAAATGGAGATAAAAGTTTGTATGGAAGTATCTTAATCATTTGTAAAACTTCTTCTTAATGGTCACTGTTAAGATAATAAAATATAATAGGGTTATTAATAGTTTGTACGAACTTTTGTAATTTTTTAATCTAGAATGATGAAACTTTTGCTTTTTTGGGTTAGATGAATAAATATTTTTTATTTATTTGATCAAAGTCAATATTCCATGCGGACAAAATCATAGTCACAGCTCACGGTTACTCTATATATTGCATGGATGCCTATGAAATGGTACAGCCAACTGTGCTAATGGTATACCATGCCAGGGTACCAGTTTAAGATGATACAATGTTAAAGTCAAGCAATGAAGGAGTCAAACTTGTGTACAACTTTATTGTTATAATAATAATATAAAATGATTTTCCGGCAATTCTTGGCATTTTTTTATTGAGATGTTTGGCCTATTATCAGTTACTTTAGACTCATTACACTGCAACCTACATAGATCTATTGTGTTGGCTCTTTTTCCAAGTTCACTACCACCTTCCTGGCCCTTACAGGCCTAGATAGCAACATCTAAAAAGGGATGAGCACAATAGGTCTCTGTAGGTTGCAGTGTTACAGGTATGAAGCACTTTGTAATAGCCCATACTCCTCAAAAAAGATGATGTTTTTATATCTCTTAAATATAAACAGTTATTTTTACAAACATTAGACCTTAGACCCTGTAGTCTGTCGAAAAACCTCTGTATGGGGACTGGTAGATGTAAAATGACATATCTATACCAGTGTACCTGAAAACAAATCCTCGGAACGGTGAGGTCGCTCCGTGAAGCCTGCGATGACACCAGGAGTCTTCTGCGCTTTTGGGAGGAGCTTGGCTGGCTACTTTAGTAGTCTGGCTCTACACGCACAACGGCCCGAATGTGAGGCTAATTGCGGAGAATGGAGTCCAACATACGATACGATACGATACGATACGATACCAGTGTACCTGAGCTTCATTTACTTCAGCAACCAATTAGCTGCCCTTTTTTATTTTTTTATTGTGTGTTTGGGGCCGTTCAAGTATTACGTAAGCACTATAGGGGGGCGGGGGGTCTTTTCTTTGCTTATTTTGGATGACATGGGGGTGGGGGAGTCTGTATGATGATTACGTCATCGGTCGTAATTTACTTTTTTACACGAATGGCAACCCTCACATTGTCTTTGCTAAAAAAAACAATACATTAATTGAGAGATGTTTACGTAAGCATGGGGGGAGGGGGTAAGAGCTTTGCTTACTTTTGCTGACAACGGGGGATGGGTGGTAAATAATTGTGATAAATCTGCTTACGTAATACTTGAACAGCCCCTTTTGCGCTATTGTCAGGTGTTAAAACCTGTAGCATTGCAACCTACATAGATCTTTTGTGCTCACCCATTTGCAAATTTTGCTACCTTGGCCTGTCAGTGACAAGAATTGAAGGATACTCTTTAAAGCGATGGTTTGTATATCATATCGGTTGCCCTTACAAGATGTGTTTTGACTTAAGGGTGAAATGGAGATACCCACAAAGAAGACTGTGCAGGAGCAATTTTTTATTAATTTTAAAAATGTTTACTTTCAGTGGTAGCATGGGGTGACTGCACTAACCCACCAGTATTGATGGTGCATGGTAAATTGGACACCGCAGCCACTTTCAGACCGCTCGTGTCATTGTTACCTGACAAATTTTATTATATAGGTTAGTATTTGTTTATTAATAGTGTTATGATACAGTTTAATAGAAAGAAAAGAAAATGTGCTTATTAGATACTAGCTATTCGCCCCGGATTCACATGGTTGTCCATATATATTATATTACCTTCCTCTTGAATCACTTTATCTATAAAAAAAACGCTTCAAAATCCGTTGCGCAGTTTTAAAGATTTAAGCATACATAGGGACGGACAGACAGCGACAGCGACTTTATTTTATACTATGTATTGATACATAATATAAACTACAAAAAATGGTTAATTAAATACAATTGGATCATTATTATTGTGGTCCTGAATAGATCTTCGCACAGCATATGACGTGATGAAGTGCCACAATGCTGGTAATAATAATAATAATCTGCCATCTCCTCTCCATAAGAGGGGAGATGAGAATTTTTGTAAAATAATAATCTCAGGACAATTCACACAGCGCCATCTAGACCCAAGTTAAGCTAGCTAAAGCTTTTGTTATGGGTACTAGACAACTGAAACAAATACATAGATATTTTTTTTTCGTAAATACATAATATACATAGAAAACACTTAGACCGATACAAACAATCATACTCATGAATACAAATGTTTGTGCCGTGCGAGGAATCGAACCCTAGGTATTCTATAAATATCTTCATACTATATGAACATAAAGGCATATCACAGTTATTTTAAATGCGACCTTGACATGTCTTTTATATGGATGATAATGGAATGGTGCACCCGCCTACGCTAAGATCAGCTAGCAGCTTTTGTAGCTGTGACCTGGTCGAGTGGAATGAGTAGCCATGCTCACTAAAATGTCCAGACATGTGGCGGCGTGGTGGGCCGGGTCATTGGGCTCCCTAAAATATGGTCGAGCGCAGTGATGGCTGGCTCATCCGTCATACTCGTGAACGAGTGCTAGTGTAGGGACTGGTCTGCTCTTATCACTACAACTGATTTAATCTTATTGTGTTTTTATATTTGAGCCTAAATAAATTTGTGCTGGTTGGTAGTTTGTATTCACACGTTTCGACTTGTAGAATGTGAACTTACAAGGATTGTTTAAAAGAGCAACACACAAGTTTCTTGCTTATTCTTCTTGTGATGAGACAGCTTTCCGAATAAGCGGTAGATTTAAAAAAATATTGACTATTCAAAAGTGCTTAAATTAGTTTATTTGTAAATGATTTTCTATTCTATTCTATTCTAGCCCATTGTAACAAATTCACCATGAATTTATCACGATGGTTTCCAGGGGGAACCGCGTGGAGGTTAACCTGACATGGTGCATTGCTAGTAATGGGGTCATTAGTACACATTACCAACAGTCCCCTCCTCCGCGATAATAAGATGTCAGGGCTCTGTCAACAGAACAATAAACAAGAGTACTCTACTTTTTTGTTCTGTGCCTCTGTTCCTATGATTTCACTCAGATATGTAAAGTAAAACAGCTTACAAAGCAGCTGCATGGCGGCTGAAATAAATGTACCACAAAATGGGCGTGAGTTTATTACAATCATATACAAACAACCAAATACGTGAGATAACTCTTATAGATAATTATTTATCAATTTATATATAATTGGTAAAAAAATAATCATAATCATCGTCATATCAAGACAACAATTGTCGCTCGAATGACGCGCGTGAAATATAAACAAAAACAGTCCAAAACTGGCCTTCAGTCGCCACTCAAGTCCTTCCGTAGACTTGGAGTGCCCTCTGCACTCCTGTTTTCGTTCGGTGAAGCTGTAAAGGCTAGCTGTAGCCAATATTAATAATTATCATTACATAATATAAAACAAAGTCGCTCTCGCTGTCTGTCCGTCCTTATGTATGCTTTAATCTTTAAAAATACGCAACGGATTTTTATGCGGTTTTTTTAATAGATAGAGTGATTGAAGAGGAAGGTTTACATATATATTTAATACATGTACACCCGTGCGAAGCCAGGGCAAGTAGTTAGTAATCTTATATATAAAATTCTTGTGTCACAATGAGTTATCATACTCCTCCTACATCCCGATACGGCTTGACCGATTTTTATGAAATTTTATATGCATATTTATTGATGAAAATCTGCTGCTGTCTATTTTTTATACCCCTAATTGAAAAGGGTTGTCCACCTCTAATATTTTTTTAATTAATTATATATTTTATAATATAGCTTTAACCCAAATTTTTACCCTTCTAACATCAACCCTTATTTGTTAATAGCGATATTAGGGGATACTTAAATGTGTATGGCACAACAACGTTCGTCGGACAGCTAGTAATCTATATATTAATAAGTGAAGTACAAAAATTATGTACCCCTTTTTGCAAACACGCTACATTGTTCCCGCGTTTTTTTTTTTGTACCTACACTGTATATCTTTTAAATTATAGTCTACTAGCTTTTAACCGCATAACTTCATTACTGGCTACTAGATGGCGCTGTAGCAAAATATTGATATTTTATTCTTATTGTTTTTTATATTTTTTTTATAAAAAGTATCCTATGTATTCTAATACCTCCAAGAACATGTGTACAAAATTTAATGATGATCGGTTCAGTAGTTTTTGCGTGAAAGTGTAACAAACATCCCTACTTTCACATTTATAATATTAGTAAGGATATGATATTCTGATGTATAAGCTATAATACTGTAAAGTTTCATTAAAATCTGTTCAGTAGTTTTTGCGTGAAAGAGTAACAAACATACATCCATATTCAATAAAATAAAAGTAGCCTAAGTTACTCCTTATTACATCAGCTACCTGCCAAAAAAAGTCCCGTCAAAATGGGTCCAGCCATTTCAAAGATTAGCCGGAACAAACAGACAGACAAAAATTGTAAAAATGTTATTTTGGTGTATGTGCCGTATTTATATTCATATGCATGTAGTAAAAAACGGTTATTTCAATATTATAAACAGACACTCCAATTTTATTTATATGTATAGAGTTAAATTATGATGAAAATTTGTTCAAATATTGTATTCATAATATAATAATATAAAAATGATTTCAGCAATCGAGCTGCCAGGTAATGGCAGATCAGACAGATATCCTCCGGGTATGATGATCAACATATACGATCTGGTGTACTGCGTGGCGATGGTGGTGAGACACTTCAGGTGGGAGAACTTCGTTTACATCGGACACTCGCTAGGAACAAATATCGGTGGGTACAATGTCGGGACCCAGAGGTCCCTTTAACTTTAGACTCCATAGATGTTGCTACTAAAAAAACTGTTTGAACTGGTGAATAAAAGACGGTTTCTCCTTCAACGTTTACTTATAAACTGAGTGGAACTAACATAGTGTTATATAATCTATACCTAATATAATCTATATCATTACACAGTATAAAATAAAGTCGCTGTAGCTGTCAGTCCGTCCCCATGTATGCTTAAATCTTTAAAACTATGCAAAGGATTTTGTTTTTTTAATAGATTCAGATTCAGATACTTAGAGTAATTCAAGAGGAAGGTTCTATATATAATACATGTACACCCATGCGAAACCGGGGCGATATGTTGGCTATATTTATATGTACTGGCTATTCGAGCCAGTACATATATAAAAATGAATTGCTGTTTTCATATACGAATTATACAGTAGCTTTCGCAAGTTCTAAACCTGTTACTAGTCGGTTCCTATTTTATTATTAGTAGTAACTAGCCATCAAAAGTATTGGATGAGAACTAGCCAAATCTTCTTCAGACCTTAGGCTACAGTATATTATCCTAAGTTATAAGAAGAAGCTATATGTATTACTATGCTTGTTAGCAAACAGATATAGATATATGTATAAATGTTAGGAACTGTAAAATGTAAATAATTAATATCTGAAGGCTTTATTATTATTAATATTGCTGTAAAGTTTCATCAAAACCAGTTCAACCGTTTTTGCGGGAATGAGTAACAAACATCCATCCATACTCACAAACTTTTCTATTATTACTTTCTGTTCTATTCTAATTCAGAATAGAACAGAATCTGCATTCCGAACATCAAAATATGACTATTCAAAAGTGCTTGTAATGAGTTTATTTGAATAAAGATTATTTCTATTTCTTACTAATATTATAAACGCTTGTGACTATGGATGAATGGATGCATATTTGTTACTCTGATGATTCTGTTCTGTTCTATTCTATTGTTAATATTTTCCAGGTTTCATATACGACGCGTGCCGTCCAGGTGTTATCACAAAGCTCATCAACCTGGATCCCCTGTACCGGGTGACTGTGGTCCTACCATCGGAATTCTCCAAATGGTAAACTATAGAACTAAACTTACATCAATTATCATTAATCCACATCATTACATAGTAGAAAACTAGTAATAACTGATTCTTCATTTTAGATATTTAAATTCATCACGAATGCTATTTTTTTTTGTCATGGCATAATGCTGAGATGGGCCCCTTACGCACACATCAGTACAGTGACGCGGTGACGATGCTCCGCAGTGGTTGATAGGAAATGCATTTTACTTTATTATTATTATTTAGTATTGGTTTATTATTATTATTTATTTATTGGGTACTATTTTGTTCTTTTATTTTTTTTTTTGTATATAATGATAACTCTAATTTAATGAATTGTTTTTTATTTACGTTTATCTTATATAATCATCATTGCCTTGCCTTTATCCCATTATTTGTGGTCGGCGCAGTATGTCATTCTCTTCCACTGCTCTCTATCGGTCGTCATATCTGAGCATACTCTTCTTTTATTCATATCATTTTTCACACAATCCATCCATCTTTTCTTAGGGCGTCCCCTCCCTTTACATCCATCCACATTCATATTATACAGTTTCCATAAGACATGGTCCTCATTCCTCCGCATAACATGCCCATACCAGCTCAATCTGTTACCTCGCAACTTTTCTATAACCGGCGCAACTTTCAAACTTCCTCGTATATACACATTCCTTATTCTGTCATTCCCAGTAACCCCACACATCCATCTTAACATTCGCATTTCTGCCACAAGCACACGCCTTTCGTCCATCCCCTTTACGGCCCAACATTCAGATCCATACAAAATGTCAGGTCTTATGATAGATTTATAAACTTTACCCTTTAGTTTCAAGGGCATTCGGGGGTCGCATATAATATAATAATTTATATGCAGCTGTCAGCATCGTTTTTATTGTGTTGTGATGTGTGATGTATTAAATGTTATTCTATTCTATTCTATTATTATTAATAATAATAATAATCATCATTTGTGTCAAATAAAAACTAATACAATTTTTTTTTGTTTTCAGGTATAAAAAGATGTTCACCTCGTACTATGAAAATTTTGAAAAATACAACGCACCTAAAGAGACCGCACCGGCGTATACCGTTGAGGAGGTAGGTTTAAATACATATTCAAGCATTTGATGACCTCATTGGTCTAGCGGTTAGCCACACTGCCTCATCGTCCGAAGGTCGCGGGTTCGATTCCTCTCTAAACTTTGGATATCTTACGAAATTTCCCCATAAGATGTTTGTCTTTTTGATGTCTTCTTAATGTTGTTTGACGGCCTCGGTGGTTTAGCGATTTAGTCTCGCCTTACTCCCGATGGACGCTGGTTCGATTCCTCGGTATAAACATTTGTATTCATGAGTATGATTGTTCGTATTGGTATAGGTGTTATCTATGTATATTGTGTATGTATTTTTCATTGTGGAATGAACTACCTGCCGAGGTTTTCTCACGAGACTACAGCATGGGGTTTTTCAACGCGTACGTGATGCTCCTAGTGTTTCAGACGTCCATAGGCTACGGTAACCGTTTACCATCAGATGGGCCGTATGCTTGTTTCCACCATCGTAGTGTACACAAAAAGTCAACATGAATCTCTCGTGTAAAAGCTATTTAATCTTGGTTACAGGCTATCAAATTGCTGAAGAAAAGCCGCGGTCTAACGCAAGCGGCAGCTGTAGCCACTGTCACCCGATTCACAGAACGACTGGCGGACGGTCGAGTGAGGTCAGTACTTCATACACAGGGAATTCTTTTTGTATCTGGGGAAAATCCCACGTGAAACCGGAATATTTTTATTAAAAAAATATCTATAATATATTGAATTGAATAAGTTACTCTATACTTATAACATTAGATATGCCTGCCAATGAAACTCCCGTCAAAATCGGTAGAACCGTTTGGGAGATCAGCAAGAACAAACCAACAGACATGACTAAGTAACGTCAAAATTTTTACCCATCCTTACGAAAATTGCGCTAACGGAGGAGTATGAAATTTTGCACACTCATCCTTACTAATATTACAAATACGAAAGTAACTCTGTCTGTCTGTCTGTCTCGCTTTCACGCCAAAACTACGGAACCGATTTAAATGAAATTTGGTACACAGAAAGTCCAGAACCTGAGAAAGGACATAGGCTACTTTATAATCCGCAAAAAGGGTTGTAACAGGTTGAAAGAGGATATGAAAGGTTATATGAAAGTATCGACAATTTACGCGGACGAAGTCGCGGGCACATCTAGCAGTTTATATAGGGAAGGAGAGCAGAATACTAAGATTTTTTTAAAATTAAATCAATTAAAAAAAACTTTACCTACCATGTGTTTGTCACCCGCACGCATATATACTCTATTGTTCATTTAATACTAGCAACTCGCAGCGGCTTCGCACGGGTGTAGATGTATTATACATATAAACCTTCCTCTTGAATCACTCTCTATTAAAAAAACCCGCTTCAAAATCCGTTACGTAGTTTAAAGGTTTTTTTTTATGGATGATAATGGAATGGTACACCCGCCTGCGCTAACGGTTTACGCTGGCGGGGCACCAGTGGAGGATGATAAGATAAACATGAGGTCAGGTCAGTTAGCCCATCGTGACAAATTCACCAAGAATTTATCACGATGGTTTCCAGGGGGAACCGCGTGGAGGTCAACCTGACATGGTACATTGCTAGCAATAAGATCATAAGTCTACATTACTACCAATCCCCTTTCCCCCCAAGTTTAAAGGTTTAAACATACATAGGGACGGACAGACAGCGACAGCGACTTTGTTTTATACTATGTAATGACTAGCTGCGCCTTGGTTTCACGGCTAGTCATCCGCATGAAATTTATAGCCTATATGTTAGTATGTTGTGTAAACTGTATTGCTGTAAAGTTTCATCAGAATCCGTTCAGTAGTTTTTGCGTGAAAGAGTAACAAACATCCGTCCATACTCACAAACTTTCGCGTTTATATTAGTATAAGAGCTGCTTCAAAGATCACATAGTATTTCGTATTATACGTCTGGTGTGGCAGCGTGGTGGGCCGGGTCATTGGGCTCCCTAAACTATGGTCGAGCGCAGTGATGGCTGGCTCATCCGTCATACTCGTGAACGAGTGCTGCTTGTAGGGACTGGTCTGCTCTTATCACTACGACTGATTTAATCTTATTATATATTTATATTTGACCCAAAAACATTAGTACTGGTTGGTAGTTTGTATTCACACGTTTCGACTTGTAAATGTAAACTTACAAGGATTATTTAAAAGAGCTACACACAAGTTTCTTGCTCGTTTTTCTTGTGATGAGACAGCTTTCCGATCGAGTGGTAGATAAAAAACAAATTGTTATGACTATTCAAAAGTGCTTAAATTAAGTTTACTTGAATAAATGATTTTCTATTCTATTCTATGCTATTGTTTGTTGCAGATTCACATACGATCAAAGGTTCAAAGTGGTCACACCAAGGCCGTTTTCCCCCGAGGAGTTCCAAGCCGCCTGCACGAAGCTGAGCATGCCAACTCTCAACATAATCTCCAAAGAATCCAAAGACAAGAAAGGCTACGAGCATTGTGACTTCGCATTCGACGAGAGCAGCTTCACAGGACAGAATTACAGGGTCAGGGTCGTGAATGGAGGTCATGATGTACATTTTAATGACCCTAAAAGCGTTGCCCCATTTGTAAGTCAATTTTTGTTGTACGGCGTTGAAGGGCTAGACAGAGACGCAAAACTGTGATAGCAATAATTTTGACGATGCCACTTATAAGGGTTTGAAAGAAATTTAAAAATGAATGAAGAATGCAACGTTTAGTTTTAATTTGGCAACACAAACGCCGGAGCCAAAAGAAGAAAAAAAGTTATAATTGAATTTGGAATGTGTAAACAATCATATATTTAAATTTGGAATGTGTGAGCGATGGCCGACGTTATTTGCTATCTCGTTCTGCCTCAGTTCTTTAATTAGAGTGTAAGCGAGATAAGAATTAGCGTGTACGTTGCAGTCTTCGTTTATTTTTATGTTTCTATATTTATAGCGTAACAAATTATACGTCTGGATTACTTGTCAAAATACTAAAAGTTTTTGTCACGTATTTCATTTGTACTTCAAGAAAAAGGATGATATAGTAAAAAAGGTTATATAAAAGTTATATACTTAGATGCTAACCTATATAATTAAAACAAGTACTAAAATATACAAAAAATATAGGTGAGTTTTAATAAATGATCATTGCACCGGCTCGAAGGACCAAAATGTGAAGGAAGGAGATCAAAACGAGACAAGCAAGGAAAAAAGGCACCGGTATAGTCGCAGAATATTATATTGACTTATGTTAACCTGCACTAACACCAGGGAAGGATGATAAGATGAACATGAGGGCAGGTTAGCCGGGTACCACTTCCTGGGTCCACAATATTGAAGTGTGGCAAGTGATTTAGAAATTATTTATGGGTTTATATAAATATACAAACTAGGTTGTGATACTTTATATAAAAATCTGTTAATTAGATCCACTACTTTGTAAAGGGTATAACCACGCTAGTATATAATATATATAATATCTTAAATATATACAACTCAAAGGTGACTGACGTAGTGATCTATCAAAGCACAGCCCAAACCACTGGACGGATCGGGCTGAAATTTGGCATGCAGGTAGATGTTATGACGTAGGCATTAGCTAAGAAAGGATTTTGATTAATTCTACCCCCAAAGGGCAAAATAGGGGATGAAAATTTATATGAAACTTGGTCAATTTTAAATCGGGCTGAGACTTTGCATGCATAAAGCTACTATGACGTAGGCATCCCCTAGGAAATAATTTTCATAAATTCCACCCCAAAGGGGATAAATAAACGCTTGCGAAGCCGCGGGCAAAAGCTAGTATAATGTATTATTCATAATAAGAATAACAGCTATAATAAAAACTGGTTGCCTCACAGCCAGCAATATTTACCAGATCTTTAATAATAATAATCTAGACAATTCACACAGCTTTATCTAGTCCTAAGCTGAGCAGAGCTTGTGTTATAAAAATTTGGGGCCCCTAAAACTACGGGCCCTAAGTTGCCTAGGGTTTAGGTGGCCCCTGATTGTCCAGGATATTATTATTATTATATTTAATGTAAAACGGCAAATTATTATAGATATTTACAAGAAAACTATATGAATAGTAAAACATATTTTTTATTTCCACTCTCTTGACAGTGGTTTGTTTTCATGAATATTCTTACCTTATTTTCGATTTGTTATGCCCTTTATGACTCACCATTTATGATATTGTAATAAAAAATATTTTAATAATTTTATTTATTTATTATTAATTGAATTTAAAACGTATTTATATTGTTTTATGTTACAATTTTGTAACGGTGGCAGATTTTAGATAAGCTCTTTTGTTAATGGTTGGTCTTCCAATAAATGAATTATTATAAATATGTTTTTTCTTTTTATTTTATATATACATACTGTAAATTATAGTTCCCGCCGCGTCTGTTTGTATATTCATGATAATCTCAAGAACTACTGATTTTCATGAGATTTTTATCTACTAGTGCAGTAATTTAATTTAAAACTAATTGGTGTATAATTAAATATGGTTTTGTGTAAATGATGGTGAAGATGATGATGATGATGATTGGTGAATGAAATACCCATGCGAATTCCTAATTGTCTCTATATAGAAATAGTAATAATCTTTATTCAAACAAACTTCATATAAGCACATATTTTTTTTTATTCTACCACTCATTTGAAACACAGACTCATCACAAGACGAACAAGCATTAAATTTGTGTGTTCCTTTTTTAAATAAACATATGTATGTACCTAATTAAGTAAATGTTGTGAATACTAACTGCCGAATTCCACAATTGGCATAAGTAAATAAGTAGTTGAGTAACAAAATAAATCAATATTTAGTTTGAATGAATGTTAATAATAGTTCGGTGCTATCCATTTACGCTTAGGAACTTTAGCATTTTCTCTTTATCTTGGCAAAATCTGTAGATAGACTTCAGATACCTAGAACCTATCGATCACCTATTAGCTGAATATTCCGGTATAAGGGCAGAGGAAGGCCGAAAAGAGATGGATGGACTGTGTGAAAGATGATATGGATGATCACTACCGTACCGTCCAATATACAGATTCAATTGTAAAGAAATGCAACTGAATTTCTTTTTTTTAAAAGCTAAGTTATTTACATTTTGTACTTATATAGGTATCTGTATGACTGCGAACAGAGATGAATGGAAGAGAAAAACATATTACGCCGACCCCAAATAAATGGGATAAGGAAGAAGCAGATGATGATGATGATAGGTGTCTGTCTATGTCTAACATTAAATGAAAATCCCGTGCAAGAACAACTATTGCCATGCACACTCGTCATTCACCCAGATCAGGATGGTATTTTAATTTCTGGCGGGTGGTACGATGGTGAAATATTTTAAGGAAGATGTTTCTATGAATGTGGATGGTTATAAAGGCAGAGGAAGGTCGAAAAAGAGATGGATGGACTGTGTGAAAGATATAGTAAGAAAGGGAGTAAATAACGAGATGACTGCGAACAGGGATGAATGGAAGAGAAAAACATTACGACGACCACAAATAAATGGCATAAGGAAGAAGCAGATGATGATGATACTCAGTGGAGTTCTAAAATAACTGGTTGCCAATAAGGAGAACATACTTTCAAATAAAAAAAGAAAAATAAATTATATAATTTATTTTTCTTTCTTTTGTTTTTTAGTAATAAAAAATGTCATAAGAATCGGATATTGTGCTCCGCTTTCTGTACATTAAATAATTATTTATACCTACACGGTTTATAGAACAGTTCTTGAAAATGACTCCTAGACGAAGTTACCGTGTGTGTTTAGTGTTGATACAAACTATTTCGCGAGTGTGGTGTGGTTCATCATATTCCGCAGGAGACTGCCTCCGTTTCCCTGTCATCCGGACGTGTTCTGCCTGGACCCGGGGTGCGTGGTCTTTAACAGTGCTCTGGATTGGATTGCAGGTCAGTGGGTACCGTTATTTTAGGGGTACTTGTTGCCGGGCAGTGAGGAACTGAGTTTATAAAGGTATATACCCCCTGTAGATCCGGTTAAGATCCCACATGTAGTGGCTATTTACACGTCTCTTCACCCACGGTCGACTTTGTTCAAAGTGAATCTATATAAATAGGATTATGATTGATAATCACTGATCGAAAATTTCAATAAATTGTAAGTAGATACGAAGTTCAACATGTCATTTAGTTATCTATACATATAAATAAAATTGGAGTGTCTGTTTGTAATATTGAAATAACCGTCTTTGTCCGTCTGCCTGTTTGTTTCGGCTAATCTCTGAAATGGGTCTCAGTTTTGACAGGATTTTTATTGGCAGGTAGTTGATGTAGTAAGGAGTTACTTAGGCTACTTTTATTTTAGAAAAATAAAGTTTAATTCCACGCGGACGAAGTCGCGGGTACAGCTAGTTAATAAATATAACTGATAAACGTGGCAGTCTGTAGTGTGGATGAATGAATGTTTGTTACTCTTTCACGCAAAAACAACGGAATGGAAATTTGTTGAATCTTTACAATAATATAGCTTATTTATTTATTTATTTACCTGTACCTTATCTTAAATAAATAAATATAACTTACTAGCTGAGCTCGCGGTTTCACCCTTATGTAATATATAGCATGCTTTTTTTATACTACGATGGTGGCAAGCATACGGCCCATCTGATGGTAAATGGTTACCGTAGCCTATGGACGCTGAGACACCAGGAGTGTCACGTGCATATTGCCAACCCTTGAGAAACCTTAATATAAACCTTTTTGATAAACCCCATGCTGTAGTCTCTCGAGAAAACTTCGGCAGGTATGAATTATTCCACAATCTAACCGAGAGGAAGCTCACTGTACGAGACTACTTAGGTTCCAGCGTGTATGGATGAGTTCCCTTTCATGTTATTCTTATATATAATGTATATTACTGTAAAGTTTCATCAAAATCCTTTAATCAATAAAATGCAGTAATTTTTCCGTGAATGAGAAACAATAAACAAACATCCGTCCATACTCACAAACTTAAGATACATCAGAATATAATAAGAAAATACATAGGTTATAAATTTCACACGAGAGAAAACGGGGGCACAGCTAGTATCAATTAAATCGTGTTTAGGCAGTAGTGTACGTAATACTCTCGAATGATAACGATTTGATAACGAACACCTCACGCGAATCGAACGTGTTCGTGATTGTAGTACTTTGGTCGGGCAGTGCAAAATCCTACGCTGGTTTGTATTGAACAAAAATTAACAGCATCTGTACTGTATCCAGAGATAGAATATACAAAGTCCTCTGCGTATTTTTTTATGACGTGTCATGGCAGCGCGGGCGGCACGTGCACGGCGGTGGTGAAGTAGCACCCTCTAGGTAGAGATTAGGGATGTAACGGAGGTAGTTTTATCGGAACCGAAGTCGGAGTCGGAGTTTCTAAATTTGATTTATCGGAATCGGAATCGGAGTCGGAGGCAGGGTCAGAAGTGGTGGCATGAGAAAGAATTTTTATAATTTTATAAAGCATTCTTTAATCTTTTTTTTTTAATTATAAAATAAAACACAAGCAATGAAAAAAATTAGCATATTATTTCCATCACAAAATTAGCATATTTATATATATCACAATCTAACAATGTTCGCACACACAGTTGCAACTGACATCATGTATGTCGCCGAGTTTCATTGCTCGTATCATATTAGAACCAGAGTCGCGTACAAAACAATGAATTTTCTCTTTTCGACGACTTTTAGTGTTC